ACAGCTTAAACCGGACGCGCTACATCGCTTGGACGCGAGACACCCCTGAAGGTATACGGTAACCTTAACACACCTATCGACCGATGAGAACGCGCGTACTATCTCATTTATTTTATAACATGTCTTGTGACACGCATGCAACCTCGTTCATATGTGATGTAATAGACCTACTTTTTAAGATGATGGAAAGAAGAACTTAAAATACATTTTCACGATACTTTTTAAAACAATGGGTGGGAATTAGAAATAATCAAGGATCTAAATCGGCTTTGAAAACCTACAGCATTCAATGTGTTTTGAACAAAGAACTTTTCTCTCGAGGTGCTACCTTGGTTCTCAAAACAACAGATGAGAAGTCATAGCAATACCCCTGGCCCTTATCAACAATAGACCGAGGTAGTGTTTTTAACAGGGGGCCAGAGACATTAATGGCCTTTTTACATTACTTTCGTTCCATGTATGTAATTATAATTTAAGAAGTAATATACCAAACACGAGAGACAGTTTCATCGGGATAACCGAACACCGAGAAAAGAGTTGAAAATACCACGCTCAGTGCAGTATTTTTGACGAAATTCGAGGTCTTTGGATAACAGATGATACACTGTCTCGAGTGTTTGATATATCTTCTCAATCGACACGAAAACTAAGGAGTAAACGGAGAAGTAAAATCGTCAAGATATAAGCTTATTAAGACCGGGTAGCCAAACTTCCTTCACGGTTGTGATTTTCTTTGTTTTAACTTGATGAATTATTAATGAGTTTGAGAAAGTTAGCGATTTAACGCAGATTTAAAGGAGCAACGTCGCAGTTTGCTCATCTTGAAAAGTTTAGCCTAAATTTTTCAAGTTCGTGCCTCGTTAATCTTCTCCATCCTCGTTCCTTTACGGTTTATTCATTATCTTTGTGTTTTTTTTGCTCTCTTAGTAAACTGCTATTTTCAGGTTTCTTTGAACCTAAAGGTATTTTTGTACGTGGCTCCTTTAACAGCACAGATTTTTCGATTTAGGTAAAATGAGTATAGATATGGTACAATTTCAATTCGATGAGTGCAGACC